AGAAGTACCTAATGTAGAAAATATAGTGCTTGATATCTACAGTATCTCTGAACATTGTATAAGAGGAATAATATCAATATAATTACCAATTAATTCTCCAATTTAGATGATAAATTTGTTGTTTATATTATATTAGTTGTTATCTTTCTTATTTATAGTAATGACGTTGAAATATAACTATCAAGTAAAAAAAAGAGATATCAAGAGTATTTATTATTCCTTAAACTCCGTAATCGTCCGTACAATAGCCGCAATCCACGTTGCTGCGGCGTATGCGCCAGCATCCACTTCTGTCAAGTACCGAGTTTGTTTTACGTAACTAGCTCGTCCTGCTCTATAATCAAATGCATATTAAATATGCTTTTAAAATTAAAAAGTATAATTTTAATTTTCCCGCAGTTATAGAGTTCTCTAATTTCTGGCGCATACAGGGTAGCATTTTTTTTAACATTTGAAACAACACGTTAATTTATCTTTATTTTTATACTCACTGGGGTTTCATATCTTTCGTAGAATTGCATCCTTTCCATGCCGCCGCGGCTAATCTATCGTAAAAATCCCTCGGATGTTCTTCCAACATTCTCTCGTACATCGTACACGTCGCGTCCATCGTATCGATCTAAATATATCGATTAATACAATCTTCTTATAATTCTAGTATATTTCTCTAAATACTGCATTTTGGCGATATAATTAATTTCTTTTCTATCATAATAAAATTGCCAACACCCAGTAATCCATCGCCACTAATAATAACATACTTTAACGGTGTGTATAAATACAAACCATAGTTCTGTCTCCAGCTTTTGCTTTCCCATATTTTTCTAAACAATTTAATCCGTTACGGAAGGCGCAGAACCAAACGTGTCGCAAATTCTCTCCTTGCTTGGATAAAGCCAGCTCCTTCGCACCAGCCGTAAAGAATAAACAATACAGAGCTCCAGATGTTCCGCCCATATGTTCCTCCGCTATATTCGCTATTTCCGATAACAATGCTGCTGGATGCGACAAGGATAAATTATCCAAATTATTCAATATACCTATAAATATACAGAAAAGAGATTATATAGTAAATTTATTCAATAGGTTTATATAATAAAAGCGTCAATATTATTTCGATATATCGAATATCAATATATGTATATATTCTAAATTTTGAATAAATAGATAAAATAAGTGAGATATATATACGTATAATATACACATGCGTCACATACCGTCAGCAAATCTTTTCAGAGTCGAACCGCAGTCTCCGTCTCCGCAACCGCGGTCCAGCTCGTTGAGATGCGCCTCTTGCTCGACAATAGCCGTACACGCGTTTTCCAAACACGATTTGATCAGACGTTGCTCGCGTACATTTAACGATATTCCTGTCTTCTCTGCTTTCTTTTTCTCCGCGTCTTTAAACGGGGTGCGAGTGACGGTCAAAGGGATGCTGTAGCTACAACCCGGCCAGCAAGGTGCCGTCGTTTCTTCGTCGAGGCACTTGACGAATATATTTCCATGACTTTCGGTTAATTTGAGCAAGCTCACATGTATACCGGCGCTATTCAAAGATGTCATTAACATACCGGAATAGACGCGAACAGGCTCTATATTCATATTTCCTGTGAATCGAGAGAAAATTAATGTTATTATATAATCTTTAAATATATATTATATTATT